TCCCCCTCCTCCTCCTCAAGTTAAGGCACAGCCACCCCACTGCCCACCCGCTCTGGGTCTCCCACCCCGGCCCTCACCGACTCTGCTGCCCTGGCTGCCATTCTTCTTTTCCTGCCTGGTGTCCATGCTGCCCTCCATGTCAGTGTCAGCCTGCGGGCAGAGAGGCACCAAGTGACTTGGCCTTCAGGGCTGAACAGAGTCCTAGGGGTCAGGGGTCAGGAGAAGGCTGGTCCCCACCTTCTCATTGGTGGTCAGGGGCAGGCGGGCCTTCACTAGCGTCAGGTAGTAGCCGGAGCCCAGTTGACGACGCAGGAAGAGTGGGGAGCCACAGCAGCACAAGCGACCCCCCGCCACCACAGCCACACGGTCTCCCAGCAGCTCCGCCTCATCCAGGTGGTGGGTGGAGAGGATCAGTGTGCGACCTAGGCATGGGGAACCAACCCACAACTACCATCAGGCCACCGGGTCTTTGCCCGAGCTGGGGCCTCTGCCAGGAGTTCTCTGCCCCATGAAGCAAACTCCTATTCGTCCCTCAAAACCTCATCCCCAGAACCTCCTTGTCAGAAACCTTTTCTGGCCCCTTAGGCAGAATCCAGGGGAACCTCTGGCTACCCCCAACTCTTACTGTCTTGGTATTTGAGCAGCAGCCCCTAAATGCCATAGCAAGAAGTGGGGTCCACATGTAGCAAACTCCTACTCATTCCTCAAAACCCCATCCCCAGCACTTCCTTGTCAGAAACCTTTTCTGGCCCCTCAAGCAGAATCCGCAGCTCTTACCTTCTCGGTATTTGAGCAGCAGCTCCCAAATGCCGCGGCGGGAAGCAGGATCCACACCAGCTGTCGGCTCATCCAGGAAAACAACCTGGGAGCCGCCCACAAAGGCAATGGCCACAGACAGCTTCCGTTGCATCCCACCTGGTAGAGATGGGGAAGGGACCTCAGTGTGTTGCACCCAGCCTTGGGCAGGGCTGCCTACCCACGTGGACCTCAATACCTGGCTTCCCCCAGCCCCCCTCCCTGTGAGATTCCCCCAGCCCCCCTCCCTAGGGATTGGGCTCACCAGAGAGGTGGCGAGTCTGCACACTCTGCTTGGAGACCAGCCCCACGTCCTGCAGCAGACGGTGCTGCTCGGGACCCACCGCAGCGGCACTCAGACCCTTCAGCCGCCCATAGAACCAGATGTGCTCGCCCACGGTCAGCCTGTGGCCAGTGCACAGAGCAGAGTGACCCATGTGGCAGGCAGAGTCCCGGAGGGCGTCCAGCCCCTTCCCACCACTGCACTCTGGGCCTGCCGAGACGCACATGTCAAACAACACGTTGTACTGGGGACAGATGCCCAGGTGGGGCCGGATGGCGGTCATGCTGGAGCGGACGTCGTGGCCCAGGATGAATGCAGAGCCACCACTGGGTGGGAAGAGACCACTCAAGATGGACCTGTGGGCAGAGGGGTCTCAGAGCAACCCCCTTCACAGAGTGTGTCAACAGTTACAGAGCACCTATTTTTAATTTTTAAATTTTTTTTTTTTGAGACGGAGTCTTGATCAGTCATCCAGGCTGGAGTGCAGTGGGGTGATCTCAGCTCACTGCAAGCTCTGCCTCCCGGGTTCACGCCATTCTCCTGCCTCAGCCTCCTGAGTAGCTGGGACTACAGGCGCCCGCCACCTCGCCCGGCTAATTTTTTTTGTATTTTTAGTAGAGTGGGGTTTCACCGTGTTAGCCGGGATGGCGGGATGGTCTTGATCTCCTTACCTCCTGATCCGCCCACCTCAGCCTCCCAAAGTGCTGGGATTACAGGCGTGAGCCACTGCGTGTGGCCTCTTTTAGAACTTTCTAAGAAAATTTCTTTTTTTTTTTTTTTGAGGTGGAGTCTAGCTCTATCCCCTAGGCTGGAGCGCAGTGGTGCAATCTCGGCTCACTGCAACCTCTGCCTCCCGGGTTCAAGTGATTCTCCTGCCTCAGCCTCCCCCGCCACCACACCTGGCTTATTTTTGTATTTTTAGTAGAGATGGGGTTTCTCTCCCATTCGGGCGTATGGGAACCTTCTGACCCCTTTCCCATTGAATGGCTAGAGAAGCTGAGGCCCAAGGGAAGGGAAGGAGGGGTGGGGGGGCTCACAGTGTCGTGGTCTTGCCGGCCCCGTTGTGGCCCAGGAAGGCGGTGATGTGGCCCTGGTAGAAATCCAGGCTGAGTCCCCGCAGGGCTGGCTGCGGGCTGCCAGCAAAGTGCTTCTCCAGGCCGCGAACGGAGACCCCAGGACTCAGGCCAGGCGGTGCCTCCTCCACCAGCACTGCAGAGACGGGATGGACTCAGCCATGGAGGTCATGGGTGTCCCGGTACCTGCAAGTCCCTTAGATCACTCTAGCCACACCCCCGGGAATGTTACTAGTTTTTTTTGTTTTTTTTTTTTTTTGGACGAGTCTCGCCTGTCTGTCGCCCAGGCTGGAGTGCAGTTAGCACGATTTCCCGCTCACTGCAAGCTCGCGCCTTCACCGGGTTCACACCATTCTCCTGCCTCCAGCCTCCTGAGTAGCTGGGACTACAGGCACGGCCGCCGCCCCACGCCCGCTAGTTTTTTGTAGAGGACGGGGTTTCACCCGTGTAGCCAGGATGGTCTCCATCTCCTGACCTCGTGATCTGCCTGCCATGGCCTCCCAAAGTGCTGGATAACAGGCGTGAGCCACCGCGCCCGGCCTTTTTTTTTTTTTTGAGACTGAGTTTCACTCTTGTTGCCCAGGCTGGAGTGTAGTGGCTCC